ATCTGTATGAGTGCTAATCCAAATGCACTGCTTGTGTGAGAAATTTTTTAAAGAATTTAGAATTGACATATTTTTTACTCTTATTCTTAGTGGGAATCATTTAACTACTAGCCTGCTCAGCCACTTTTGTTTCAGGCATACATCTATAAGGATTTTCACAGGATGTTAGTATGTTCTGTTAGTATGTTCTTCTTATGAGTTTTGGTAGAGTCAAAAAGTATCACCGAAGGAATGATGGCAAGCATAGGTGAACTTAACTAGTCATTCTTTAAACTGTTGCTGCCAAAAAGCTCAGTGACTTTATGGTCTTCATGCAAAAAGTTGTTCTTTCTGATTGTTTCAGCAAAGGACGATTTCAATATGGGAGCTGAATGCCATTTTTAATGCTACTATTTTTCATTACAGATTATTTACCTCAAATTTGGCCTGCTAAAATAAGTTTGCTTTTGATCATAAATAAATCATTTATTAAATGTTGAAGTTTATTATGTTTTTAAATCAGGAAGAACATTTGTCATTGAAATAAGTTTCAAATTAGAATTTTCTGAATTGAGAACTTAATTTCTTGCAAGTCTTTTTTAGTATGTTAAAAAAAAAACAACCAACTCTCTAGATAAGGATTTTATAATTAATATTTAAATAAATAAATACTTCTAGCAGAACTTTCATGGATTATGTGCATGACCTCTGGTATGGCTTCTCTGTTCCCCATATTTACAACATATATGCTCTCCACATTTGTAATGATCTTGAGGCTGTTTGTCATCTATTTGGTTAAAATGCATTACAGAAATCACAGATTTCTCATTCAGTGTTCCTCTTTTTCATAGCACTCTGCTGTTTTATCTTTAATTTTTTTAATTTTTGCTTCTCTCCAAGACATTACTTGTCGTTTTACCTAACTAAAATGATAGGTAAATTTGAGAGGATGGAGCAATAAATCTTTTCTCCCTTTTCTTCTAGTTTATTCTATGTATAGTATGTAGGTATTTCTTGAAGTACTTTTAAGCCTTGCTTATTAATTTCAAGTTAAAAGAAAAAGGATGATGTATATTAGAAAAATATATACATATACATTAAAATGTTTTACAGGAAAATTTAGCAAAGAGCAAAATAAATTACATTAGCAAGTGCAAGTAGATAAAAGCACTTCACTTCCCAATGAAAGAATAGCAATAAGCAGGCACAGAAAACAATCAATTCTCTGAAGTTTGATAAAACAGAATAAATTTTTACACAGTCCTGTTACATCTTTCTCAACCAATACCTCTGAAGTTATTGATCCCACTTGAAATTGAAATTGAGAGAGGAATTGAGAAATAGGAAAGCATAACTCAATTCTGTTGCAAAAATACAAGGAGACCTTAAAATAGTGACTACTTCCAGAAAATCTACTGCAGTGATAAATATTGTGCACTATGTTCTTTTCCCAAGGAAAAATATAATGTTAGGAAATACAGTGTACAGTGTGCTAAGACTAGAGAGATTTATTAATATTTACTGGTGAGAAAGACACCACAGGGATCTAGAAGAGATTCAGACTTTTCCTGATGACTTCTTAAAAATGTTTACAATTAATTTGATTCATTAGTAGAATAAAATCATTTCTGAACAAAAAAGATGATGCTAAAGCTGTGTGATGCCACTCCTGCTTTTACTACAAAGTGCTTTCAAGTGCTGAATAATGGGAGGGTAAAGTTAGACATAGATTGAAATGGTTGTAACTTTTAACTCAGCTTCTGTGGAAGAAGAAAGAAGGTTTTCTCTTTTGGTCAGGTATTTTTTCTCTCCGAAGGTAGCAGTTTTCAAATTTATGTCGTGAAAAGTTCTTCTTACGCATAATAAGATTTTTTTTTTTTTTTACTTTTTATTTATCATTATCTGATTGAAAACAAATGCTAAAAGGGAGGAAAATCTAGGTTAGTAACATGTTTCTACAGTGTTGGGTGTGCCGGCAAAACCGATTCTAAAACACACATTAACTTCCTAGTTGAATGTTCTTTGCTACATGTGAATGGTAATATTTTAAATAGCAGTAAATATTAAGCATGTGAAATAGCCAGATAATACTGTAGCATCTGAAAGATTTTGAATATATCAGCAGTTGTTTGGCATTTTATGAGCTTTGCAGGATACACACTATCCAAGGTAATCAACTGCTTTGTGGAAGTTAGGGCAGAAAGGAAAGTATGGAAACAATGATTCAGAGAGGTGGAGAAGTCCTACATAGAAAACACCCAACACAGAGATAGTAGGGAAAAAAGCTGTGGAATGTATTGAGGAGAGGGGAAGGAGGATGATGGGCCAATGTTGTTGGTCCATGTCTGCTCAGCTTCTGTTCTTCAGGGCATTTTAGTCATGTAAAAAGAAGAAAAGAAATTCTCAGAGGAAATGAAGTCTTCTATAATGCAGCTAGTATTGTTATTGTCAATAGCTTAGTGATGAGAAAGGTTTTTTCATAGCATTGTAGATATTTTAATGCATGTTCTTAGAAGTCATTTTGCTAAAAATAAATGACAAGACAGCTTAAAATTGGAGACGTATTTCTTTGCTCCCTTGCCTACACCTGTAGTCATAGTCTTTACACAACTGGCTCTCAGAAACCAATCTAACCCTAAGAATTCAGATTTCTTCAGTATATCCAATTGCAGGACATTACACATAAATGATAAGCTGGTTATGAAATATTGTCTGCCTTTTTGTTTGGATTTATATTCAATGAATATCTTTACCTTAGCAAAATTACCATATATTACAATACCATAAATTGCTGTTCAAGGCAAGCACACAGTCTTATGTAGCTTAAAGAATATACATTACACTAATTAACGGTGTTTTTCTGATCCTTTCATATCATTGTCATAAGTGGTAGAAGATTGTCTGAAGCGTAGGGAAGGTAGTATCTTCCAAAGATCATTTATAAACCTTGGAAGCATTTCATCTCCCATCCACAAAATTCCCTTCCCTGAAACCCTAACCAATTCATAAGTTCATTGCAAACAGAGAAGTCTTTCTGGACGAGGATTTAAATGAAAACAACTCACCCTTCACTAAGATAGTGGTAATGATGATTCCCTAAAGGAAGCAGTCCAAAAGTTTTCGGGTGCACCACAGCTGCTGATAGTGGAAGAAATCTGCCTTTCAGTTTGTGTAGGACAAGATTTTCTCAAATGCTTTCTGTACTGTTAAAAGATATTCTTTTGTGTATAATATGGATGATTTAGAAGAAGCTGTGTCAGCACTGATTTATACATTGACAGCTAAGGATAATAAGATATGGGCAAACATACAGCTCACCCTTTTACAGATTAACCTGCAGACTGCATTAGGCAAATTCAATGGCATTAAAAGATTTTTCCAATTTGTCTGGAAACAATTTCTCTTTTGTATTGTGTCAAGGGTAGCATTTCATGACATTGTACTAATTTAAATAGCTGTGATAAATTGTTGAAGAGGTTAGAAAATTGTACTTTGTATATATTTTACTTCTATAAAATAAAAAGTCTATTAACTTAATTGTTAAATGAAATTAATTAGTAAAATGAAAAAAGCCTCAGTAAGTAGGCTTAAATATTCCAACACTGCAGCATTAGTGCTATAACACTGCACCAAAATTATTAAAGATTATATTAAGGAAATTATAGTTTGCATTTCAATGTAACTTTCAGTACACAGAAACACAGACTGCTGTAGCTGTATTATTTTATTCCTGCATAGTAGTAATTCAGATAAAAAATTTGGATGAAACTACAACTTTAAAGAAGTTGGTATGTTAAACTCAACAGTGGATATGATGATTTATTAATAAATCATTATTAATGATTTATCATAGGTTCAGAAGAATCACAGAAGAAGCTTTAGTAAACACCTCATTAGCCCTAGTAGCTAATACATGATTGGAGATAGAAAGGACAGAGTTCATTTGTATTTTGTTCATTCACTTCCTATTGTTCACACAATATATGTCCCTATATATTATCTATTACTGCTAAATATGAGGTTTGAAGATCTTTTGATTGCTTGAAGTGAGGTTGTATTTTTTTGCATATTTACAGATAGTATTTATAGATACTTAGTATCTATATGAGAAACTTACAAACATTGGGATTTTGTATTTGCATAGTGTTTAATTTCAGCATACGGTTTTTAAATTGTGCTATATGTACTGTATCAATGTTATGGATTGAAAAAGTAGTAGAATTCTTCAGAGAAATGAATGTAAATTTTTTATAACTTAATACTTTAAGATTAATAATGTATGGGATGGATTGCTGAGCTTTATGTCCAGAATTCAAGAGCTCAGTGACAACATCCTAACTGCAAACAATTGCAGAGAGCACAAACTATGCAGAAAATTGCACGCTGAAGCTTCTAGTAGAAATGCTAGTTTGATTTGGAGCAGAATTAAAGGATATAGCTGTGTATGTAAATATCTTGGATGCTAATATTTCTGCACTGGGAAATACTGGAGAAGTTGATGGCTGTTAACGCCCCCTCCTTGCCCCTACACCAACCATCTGAGGCAGATGCACCCCTAAAAGTGGTCCCTTGCTCACGGCTGCCAGGGCACAGGGAATTAACATGCAGCTGGGCTGCTCTGATAAATGGATTCTGTTAGGTCACCGAGGGGATGCGTGTGACATTAAGTGATTTACCGTCCTTTACCTTAATGAAATTGTTTCAGCAAGATGACGCTGAGAGCTTTTAATGGATAGCTTTTCTTGATGTAATGAAATTGCATTCCTTTGGCATTTAATATAAGGTGCAGTTATTATTTACTGGAGCTCTCCTGGAGCTGCTGTTTGCGCAGACAGTTCAGAACAAAAAGAGATTTCTGTGGCAGCATCCAGGCCGGCATGGTGTCTGACAGTCCTAAGCACGCGAGCATGTTTGTGAGAGTGTTTCGGTTAGTGTGGCCATGCACACCCATAGGATGCTTGCTCCACACGCACTGCCAGCGCTCAGCTCCTTCACAAATACCGTCCTAATCTGTTTAACAGGCAACTGGATTACAACCAGATCAGCTGTATTGAAGATGGGGCATTTAGGGCTCTACGCGACCTGGAAGTGCTGTAAGTACTGCTTCTATCTCTGACTTTTAGTAAGAGCTCGGTATCTGGGGAGTACTAATGTAAAAGCTTATCTGTGAGCTGCAAGTCTGGTGTCAGAATTGTCTGGTGAAAAGATGTCTTAAAATAATCCACTGCAATGTGCTATATAATGGTAAAAATGTCAGGGGAGACGGAGATGCTCCTTTAATCTGCCAGGAAACCACAACAAACAATTAAAAAAAAAAAAAAAAAAAAAAAGCAGATGATAGATACTGTAAGAAAATAATAGATATTTCCTTTTAAAATGGAGAGAGGAGTATTAATGAATCCAATTATTTTGTAAATGATACAACATTGCTGAGGTGCTGAACATTTCCATGATTGCCTTTGTTGTACAGTCTGACATCAGTTTGATTGTCCAGCCTCTCTACTTAAGGAACAATATACTAAATATATCTGACAATCTAGGTGTTTTCAGAGAGGCACTTCCCTAGCAAACACTGCTGTATGTGGTGAGAGGTTTAGCCTGTCTATGTTATGTGGATTTTTAAAGATTTTAATTTTTCTGTGTATGCATATAGAGACAGAAATATGTTTGTATGCCATTTCAGGTTTTTATTGCAATTAGATTTCTGTATACTTTTTCTTTCTCACTGTTGTCATTGGAGAGGTAAAAGATAACAAAATTATTATCAGTGACACCCAACCTCAAAACAGTCAGGATAATGAACAAAGCGTCTCTGTTCCCAAAGAATTTAAGACAGCACACATTCCTGAAATATTTTCTGTCAGTGAAAATGTCACTTTTTTTTTTTTTTTTTTTTTTTTGGCATTAAAGGAAGTGAAAGACTGCATATCAGTGGGTTACCGCATGTTAGCCTGAATTAAGCTTGGTAAATCACACCCTATGGGGTGGGAGGAAGCTTGGTTATTTTCTTCTAGGTTTCTGAAGTAAAAAAGCTTTTTTGACAGATAATGTCTGTATATCCATGCAACTTAGGAACTAAGCTCCTAACTAGGAGCTGCTGGCAAGAAAGTATCATATTAGAAAGCAATCATTGCCTTTTATTATTTTTTTTTTTTTTACTGTATAATCTTAGCATAACAAAACTATTGTTAACTTTCTGGTACAAATCCATGTGAAACATACTGTGGGTTCAATATGGAGTCTAATTGTAAATCTGATGAATTGTCGGTTTTCTATAGGTAAACCTGATGTTTTGGGAAGTTTTTATCTTTGGTGCTCATATATATAGCAGTATTTTCCAGTGATGGCTTACTCTGGTTATCATGTTTTTTAATATGAGCCTTCTTTTACATGTAGAAATGTTAAATGTATGTATATATGGATACTAACATTACTTGCAGTTTTTAATGCTTGCATGTTTTAGTAGTTGGAAAATGTCATCCATCCCAGTTGAAGGAGGTGGTAAAAATTTTACACTGATTTCGATTAATGCAGAAGGGAACAAAAGTGTTAAGAGAAATTGTCTACTGAAAAAATAGGTTGTTAGAACTTTTCAAATTTACATAGACTACTACCATTATTCAGTTAAAAATCTATCTCAAAATACGTGTGATAAGCAACAACAGTTGAGAAAATATTTCTTATTTGAGATATTTTGAGCACTGCTGAAAAGTATGTATCTAATGCGACTTTTTTCAATATAGCTTAAGTAATGAAAACTGTGTAAATCACACTATCGTATAAATGCACTGAGTACTGTATAAGACTACATGTTTTGTTTTCATTTGAAGTTGATTATTCTAAGCACTGAATTTTTATACCACTTCAAATTACATGATGGAGCTTTTAAATAATTTTTAAATTTACATGGTCTGAAGCCCCATTTAGTCACAATTTGAAACATTTACTAAGGTAACGTGGCTTACATATTGGTTAAATAATTGTAGAATCCTAGAGACTATTAATGTTAATGATACAAAATTCATCTAAATTGAGACAGTTCTGAAGTGTGAAAGCAGGTACGGATATAATCCTCTCAGTTTGTTAATTCACTAGCAGATTTATGTGAAATTTTGTTTTTCAGTTTTCTTTTCCTAAGTTACACTGGGGAAACTGTGACTACGAAAAAATATAATGTAATGCAACTTGCTGTCATATTCAAGAAATATGTTTCTATTGTCATACTCTTTGCAATAGCATTTAACAGTTTTAAGCAAAAGTATTGACTAAGCTCTTTTGGTTTTCTTTTGATTATAGCTTTGCTGTGAAATTCAGCATTTTGGATCACAAGAGTTACAAAAATGACTTAATTCCTTATGTGTTCATGCATCTGCTCCTTATAGAAGAGGGTTTAGAAATAGGTTATTACTAAGATCCCTTCTAGCCCAAGTCATTCTTTGATTGTATGAAGTCAAACATGAAACATATGAAATTTAAAATAAAAACTTCTAGATATTCTTTAAACAGCTGACAGCTATGGAAATATACTTACTTTCATTCCCTTCATTGAAAGAGAAGATTTTTTTAAACCTTGAAAGAAGTCATGCATGAAGACAGTGATGAGAACTGTCATTTAGCATGTCTACATTAAGAAAATCCACAAAAGTCTGCTGGCTGTAATTTATTCATTAAGGCATCCAATTGGAAATTTTTTTGCTTCTTATTATTCCATTTTCATAAAAAATAATGATCTCCCCAATTTTTTATTTCTATTGATTAATCTTTTTGCTTATGTAGCCCTGAGGGCACACAGGGGAGATGTCTTATGCACAGTGAAGAAAACATATAGGATTGGAATGAGTAAGCACAGAAATGCAAAATCCAGCACACCGCACCAGAAATTATTTGTTTGGCTAATGTGGAGGCATATAAACTGATCCAGGGTGCTATGAATTTACTTTACTCTGTTTCAGGATCACAGAGTTCTTTACTCAAAATGCACACAAATTACACCTTGTGGTTTAAAAATGTAAAGAAAGAAAGTAAAGCACTTATTGCTTCAAAAGGACAGAGGGAATTATTAGTATTAGTGTCATAATTCTGTTTAAAAATGCAGAGCACATTCTATGTTGTAGTCAAGCGAGTAATCTCTAAGTAGAAACTGTAAATTCTGACACTTGTTTCCCTGTACTCAAGTCAAACTTGTTCACATTTTATTTGCAGCCAAAAGACAACAGCTAGCTGCAGGATCATTCATAAAGTTTCATCATCTTTACAAACTGCACTTCCTGTGCATGATGGTTCTGTGCTAGCCAATAATTGGCTAAGATTTATTCCTAGTTTCTGTCTCAGGTCCCAGGCATTTTGTCCAAAACATAAATTACTTGCTAGAGCATTAAGATGCATGCCTCCTTGCATCATATAGCAGAAGGTCACCTATTGTTCATGCTGCCCTGGATCATCTGCAACAGCACTGACTGCAGTTTACTTCAGAAGATTCTTAGGAAAAATAGCAGGCAGGTCTTTAGCTTGCATCCTCTGTCAAAAAGCATGGGCTCTCAGAAGCTAGAAAAAGAAACTGCTGCCCTAAACCCAAGGACTTTTCTGCAGGAATACTCTCAAACTATATTTCCTTACACAAGGACAGCAGTCTTAGCTTTAATGCCATAGATGTTCTCAGTATTAATGGAAGCTCTGTTTCAGTCCTCTCTTTGAGTTAATTAAGGGTTATTGAGGCCTCTGATTATTTATGGTTATTAATGGAATGGTCAAACCACTGTGTTGTAGTAGGGGTTGAATATGGAGTCGAAGTGGACCTCAACGTTAGGGTTCATTTTCCTCATAGCCATTCCTAAAAGCAGAGCACCATTCTCTTCCTTTACTATGCCTTGTAAAGAAAAATGCAGTCAATGTGACATAAATTATGGTAACTTGTTAATATGCTTCTTCTTGACTTTGCAGCACTCTCAACAACAATAACATCACTCGATTATCCGTCGCAAGTTTCAATCATATGCCCAAACTCAGAACATTGTAAGTAGTCCCATGGAAACTGACTGCCATTGTTACGAACCCAGTATGTTCAGTATACCATTTTTCCCTCAACCAAGTTCTGCCAGTGGCCTGTAAATACTTATACATGCATGGAAAGTATCTGTCAAAACAGTAATACTGAGGTTTGTAGGCATGAAGTGTGTGTGGCAGATAATTCTGAAAGGTGAAACCCCAAAGCTAATTCTTGTGGCTCAGGAGTTTAGAGGTTGTTGCATCGTTTTCATTCTGTTTCTTCAGGATAGGATGATGGAAATGTTTTCATGGTCTTTTCCTAGCTGGATGTTTTGTAGTGCACTGTTTGATCATAGAAAAGTTTTACCATCTTTTCTACAGAAAAGGTGGAGACAGAAGGGATTCTCTTTTATATGTTACGGCTGTATAGCAAAAGAAATTGATGTTTTTTGAAAGTCAAAAATTTGTTTTACTTTGAGCTACTGAATGGGTCACATTTCATTTAGTAACATGGAAGAATCTTTGATTGGCTGTCAGATGTGATAAATGGGAAATCTTTATGCTTTTATTACTGGACTGCTAGCAGACCTAATTAAACTAAACTGACTTTCCAACATTCTTTGTAACATAAAATTATAGCATCATCCGGTAGTGCTATTATAATTAAAGTTGTGTCAGCATTTACAATAAGGTCCCCACTTTTAGAGGTTATGACTTTCACAGAAGAACACTTGAAGCTTCTAAAACAAAACACAATGAAAAGAGTGTGTGTGCAGGAGATGCAATTTGGGGTTATTTGTTCTGTTGATATTCAGCTAACAATAAACGTACATTGTGTTAAGCAACAAAGCTAGACTCTATCAAAGTTTAGTCCTGAGATACTTTCAAACAGGCTTTCCAGTGAAGTGGAAATAAAGTCAGTGGGGCTAGTCACTTGAATTAACATCTGTAACTGAAATAACATCATTCAGATGAGTAGTTCTGTTGATTTCATAACAGAATTATAGCTACTCTTACATGGACAAATACAAGAGCTCTTGAATTGTGCTGAGCATTGGCTTTTGGTGGCCTCAGTTATATTTTGAGAATAGAATTTCATTCCATTTTATTCTCTTGTGTCTGGGACCTGAAAACATTAATATCCATCTGTTCCTCTTTCAAACTTTGAAATCTAGTTTGTATTCTGAAGCACAGATTACAGTGAATCAAATAACAATTTTTTTTTTTTAAAACTTAAACTTCTTTTGTGGATATTTCACTTTTTAAAAATTCATTTTCTGAGCAAAAGAAAACAGGCACACAGAATCCTAGATTATAGCTATAACATCCCATAAGAATATGCTTGTATAACCGTATAAATTTCAGCAGCATTAGTTCTGATTTGCAATGGTCTTCTTGCCTACAGCTGGCCACAGGTTGTACTGGATGAGTATGCTGTATTGTGAGCTGTGTTTGCAAAGCGCTCACACAAAAATAAGTACAGAAAAATGCACTGCCTTTAATTTCTAATCATTTATGGAAAAAAAAAGCAACCAATGAATTAAAATATTTTGGTTTTGTTGGTCTGTCACGCAACTCTGTTCCTTTACAGTCTTTTCATGGATTATCTAGACTTCTTGTTTAAATTCTGGTTTTCTTTTACTTCCTTTCCAGTTATTTAGTGAGCAGCACATCAACTAAAAAGGACCAAAATGACATTATTCTGTTACGGATGGATCTGAGTAGGGATTTGATGCATAACTGTTGATGTACTTTTCTGTAGTTTGAGAAAAATGCAAGAAGCAGGGAAAAGTAAGCGCCAGAGAAAAGTAATTAACCTAATTTAGTGAATGCATTTGTGTGATATTTTATCAATGGAAAAGTGCTTTTTGCCACTTGGCACGGAGCCATGGTCTTGCTTCAGACTCTGCCACTGAAGAGGCAACTTCCTTAATTTCATAGCTTGCTTTAGCATTGCTTTTAATTTCAGACATTGCTTAGCCTCTATGCCGCTAGGAGCCAAAAACAGCTAAGTCCTCTTTCTATGATTAAACAAAAAGAAAGGAAGTCAGCAAAGATGTGAAAAAATGGTGTTTTATATGGAGTTATTACTCTGCCTTGTTCAGTAGAAAATGAACATGACCTGTTAGACAGACTTTGCAGGCTGTTTCTATAGAGACTAATAATGGGGAGACTTCCAGATGTATCTAATTGGAAACCAAATGGTTTATTCACTCTTACTTTTTTGACAGCATGTTATCACTGTAGGACACTATAGTTTTATATCACTTGAGACATTTTTGTCTAGTCACCATTAATGCAGACCTGTACTAAAGACTTCCCTGGCAGCTTTCAAGCTCTTGCGTATTTACTTCTTTCATTTAGTTTAATTTCTTAAGAAGCCTTCATCTATTTTTGTAATCATCTAAACCACAAATAAAAGGCCATTTTGTTGCTTACATAGTTTTGCTTATAAGCATTTAACAGACTTTCGGCAAAAGATCTTTATTAATAAACTGGTTTGCTGCTGGAGGTGGGAAGAGGAGGGACAGGTTACTTTTCTGTTTGTTCTCCGCAATTTAAACCTGGGTGTCCATTTTCTCATGCAGTCGCCTGCACTCCAACAACCTCTACTGCGACTGCCACCTGGCCTGGCTGTCAGACTGGCTGCGGCAGCGACCCCGTGTAGGCTTGTACACTCAGTGCATGGGCCCGGCACACCTGCGTGGCCACAATGTGGCTGAGGTCCAGAAGCGAGAGTTCGTCTGCAGTGGTAAGGGCAGCGCTTTGCCTCCTCGCATGGTGATAACGTTTGCGTGATTTTTTTATTATTATTATTACTGTTTTTTAATGAAACTAATCATTCTTATCAGTAATTTGTATCTTCTGTGGTGCTGCTTCTGTCATTACAATTTTTTTGTGAATGTGTCATAGAATATATAGTCTTTGTAACTATGAATTATGGGGAAGTGAGATGGGAAATGAGATAAAAAGGTGCACCAGTTAAGAACATAAGGCCTTTCATAATAAGAATTTGGGTTGTTGATATACACATTTTTAAGCACTATGGGTTGTTATTTTTCCTTTTTTGTTACATTTTTCTGTTGCTTTTCTGTTTCAGTTGAAAAAGTATTTTGAAATTCCAAAAAAAATTCTGAATTCTATTGCTGTGCTTTAATGCATTAGGTTGCTATGAAATGATGAAATGGCTAACAGTTCATTACTAATCACATTCTGTCTGTTTGATATTTTTTCTTTATTCTTGTCTCCAAGATGAGGAAGAAGGCAAGTTTTATCTTTTTTATACAAATATTTTTAGCTCAGATTGAAAATTTTCTGTAAACTCGAACTACTGTTTTAGTTTCCCTCAAAGTATTGAAAAACAACTGGGAAATAACTGTCAGTCTTTCTGTGGCTCAGCACAGGCGTTTCTGCTAGTTGTTTTCCTGAGAATGCCCAAATCTCTATTGCTAATTATGCCAAAATTTACATGGATCTATTTTCTGAATACAGTTTTTTTGCACAGCAAAATCTCTCATTACTGAGCAGCTTCTAACACTGCAGTGTAAGGTGCTGTCACTGTAGCACGGTAGATGTTAGCCATGCTCTAACCATTACTTCTGCATTTATGTGTTCATAAAAGGTCTTCTAGCAAGAACACATCACATATCTTATTTGTAAGTTGTTTTACAACCTGATCATTGTAATGCTGATTTTGAGGAGGGAGTATAGCCACTTTTTATCCCTGGATCACTCAATTTTTGTTTAATAAATGCAGATGAAGTATTTTCTCTTTGTTAGTATTAAAAGGAATAACATGGCTTTATTCTTTTTGGCAGCTGTTTGTACTTTTGTAACACATACCTTAATGTGAAATCAAGTTATTATATTGTGAACTACTATCTCACAGGTCTAACTTTTCAGTGAAGCAATTTTAATATTTTTGTTGTTATTTGAAGCTGTAACTAGGAACAGCACTGGCTGCAACTTCAAAGTGACCTTACTTACATTATCAGTGGACCCTTTCTATCTTAATATATGGCATTAAATCTAGCGAGGGAGATCTGAGACAAAGTTGTGGTTTCACAACACAGAAGTCTCTTTTTGTTTCATGGGAATTTAAAACAGTCCTTAGCGTTTTTACCTTAATAAAAAGGAAAGGGGGAAAAAAAAAGTCTTCATGCCTTTCTCGTGTTTTTGTGCCTTTTATATCATTACAAAACAATGATAAAGTATCATTAAATCAATAGAATAATGAGTGTTTTACTTATTGTTATAAAATGTGTGATCCGTTTATTTGAATTTTTCAAATTCAGAAGTAAAAGGAATATATGGAGATATGAAAGACATAATCATGCAAATTAGCCACCTGAGTAGTCAGAATGTGCTAACTTAAGAGAATAAGAAGTCCACTGAAGTAACATAGAAAGCATAAGTATGAGTTGTGAAGTCAAAGCTCTATATGTTTGGATGGAAAGCCATAACTCCAAAATAATCCGTAACTGATACATACAGTGACAAATAATGCTAATGAGTATTTGCAGAACAGAACAGAACTGTCAGAAGAGCTTCAGTGCTTTTATTGTCAAAATTCATTACTGTCAACATTCATTTATAATATAAAAAACTCTTAAAAGCTACATAAATCAATACTTGGTTTTTAAAACCACAAAAGAAATAAGATTGCACCCCCAAAGAAATAAGAATGCACCCCCAAAAATGGACTGCATTCATTTTCTTTAACAGATAATTTTGCATATGAGTTGCTGGAGAAATTGAGAATTTATGAAGAATCTAGAACAGTAGTCTCATTTTGTCACCATACTGCTATTAATTAGGAATTTAAATTAATGTAATTCGAAAGTGTTGATGGGCAAGAGTGTTTTTCATGGAAGTGTAAAACATGATATTTTACTCTTGAGGACTACTGTTCTGTGCAGTTTTAGAAGAAAGTCTTTTCCTCTGCAGGTCACCAATCATTTATGGCTCCATCCTGCAGTGTCTTGCATTGTCCTGCTGCATGCACCTGTAGTAACAACATTGTGGATTGTCGTGGGAAAGGCCTTACTGAAATTCCAACAAATCTTCCAGAAACCATTACTGAAATGTATGTAATTTTACCTTTTTTCATTCTTTCAATGAATTATGCAGTAAACAGTTCGTCTTATGTATTCATTGTTGTTATTTGTATAAATTCATACTTTATAATATGGTAAGAATTTTGGAGTGCACATTCAAATTCAGAAATAAAAGTAATATACAGATATATGAAAATATTTAAGACCCATATATTCTCTTATGAGTTAGTTCTAGCTGTATTACTCACAACCTATAGCTGAAACTGCATTCTGAGTTGGTTTTAAAGTAATTAATGCATATTTACTTTTTTGAAAGTAAGTATCGTTTTACTGCAGACTGTAAGCCCCTTCGTCTTCAGTGTTGCTCAATGTCACCTTCTTCAACTCACTATTTTATAACTCACTATTCAAGGAGCATACCTTTGCAACAAAATACAGCAATTTTTATCCCTTTTCACATCTTTTTGCAAGTATTGCTAAAATAGCATCCACAGAAGGGTAGTCTGACAAGGCAAAAGTATGGTGGTTGACTGCAACCTGTGGTATAGTCATTGTGTTAATACTGTATGCTCATGAATGGAAGCAAACATGCTGATAAGGTTGTGTGACATGGCATAAACAACAGCAGCAAAAAAATATGCAACTGCATCCCAGTCAAGCAGAGTTAGAGCAAAAGTGCAATAGGGCCTGCAGGCTTCCCATAATCACATTTGTCAGCTCATTATTACTGCTGTTAAGGCTGACCTGGCTGACCATACCTGACCAAGTTCAATCATACTAAACAAACATGTCTTCTACCTTTCGCCCTGAGAAGACTGTCTTAATTATTTAATAACTTGTATGCTGACCTTTCCTACTTGCATATGTATTTTTATGTGCACAAAGGAAAATATTGCAGTATGTAAGTGGGGTATGTCTCAAACACTCCCCTCTATATTTCTGCTGCTAACTAGTAGTTGGCTGTGCTTACCAATTGTGCTTCCAGTTGAGTGGAAAGTAAGGAGAGAAATGTACAGGAAAAGAAAGGTGAAAAATAAGGGACATAAATACCTTTGAAAAGCAGGAATAAACTTCAAAAATTAATAAAAATGATTATAAAATTATATATAAATAAAATATAAAAATATATAAAATATAAATATAATAATATATAATATAAATATAAATAATATAAATATATAATATAAAAATAATTATAAATAATTACAATTAAAAATAAAAATTAATAAAGTTAATAAAATTAAAAAGACATTGTGACTACTTGATGAGAATCACTTGATCTTTGATGCTTTCTTGTCAATAGGTTGAAGACCAGTAGATTTTGGCAAATAAGTATTGTGTGCCACTGGTTGCTTTTATATGATAAAACTAGTGAAATTTGACAATTTACATATCTTCCAAAAAAATAGTTTCATTTTTTTTCTTTTCCTTTGAAACACACTATCTACTTTAAATCCTACTATTTTCTTAATCAACATGTTATTTTAAGGTAATCATTGCTCGGGGGTAGGGGGAGGTTAATTCAAGACTTCTAGCTTTAAATATAGTTGTTCAAAATGATGTTAATTTTCTTTGACTTTATGAAAGAAGGGAAAATGGTTAAGGTTCATAATTTGTCTTGCCACCTTCTATTTTCTATTTCACCCTCATTCCTCTCTTCTCTCAATTAGAAGTACCAAGTCTTTTCTATCTCTCTGAATACCAAAACCTTCCTTTTCTTAATTTATCTCCTTTTCCTCCAAACTCCTTGTTTTCTAACTTTTTTACCTGCACTGACCAGAGTCAAACAAAATATTCCAGATGACAGTGAAACATATAAAGCCATTTTAGTTTCCTTTCATTTGCCTTCTGCACTGTATTGCTGTCTTTTCTTAATTGCCAATCAAAATTACCCCATGTTCTCCATTGCATTTTCCGTTAAGAATCCTAGGTCTTTTTTTCTTAGCTGTTACAGTTTTGTCAGAAACAAGATGTAATCTTATTATTCTATCTCTATTACATTTATGAACACTAAATGTATCTTACTTTCTAAAGCTGGTCTGTGAAAGTCTCCACTAACTAGCTTCGACTTAAGATTCCACTAACATTTTGTCTTCAATATAGGAAAGATTCTGATATTTCTATCTCACACTATCCTAAAATAGTTTTTAAAACCTTTGTTTTTTAAAGAAATATTCCGCAATTGTTGCTATAGCAGCCTTTTCTGATTTAATTAGAAAGAATGTCTGTGTCTCATAAAATAATATTTTTTTCAGTTATTTTTATATGAAATAGTTTTATTTATGCCCAGATGGAATCTGACAATAAACATTTGGATGGATGAGACAATGATGTCACAGCATCATTGAGAATACTTAGGAGCTGCTGAACATAGGGCACAAGCAAACCCTGAAGGACATGGTGGGCACTGTACTTCCACCACCTTTAAATAGTTCCCATACACTAGGCTTTATCATCTTAATTACAATTTAAACCACATGCTTTGGCAGGAGCTCCTCAGTCAGGGACAGAGGGAAATAAAAGCAAGCTGGCTCCCTGTTGTTTTCTGAAGGATGTACAGTCTTTAACAGCCAAATTATTATTTATTTGGTGATAATACCATCATCATCAGGTTTCTGTGCACAACATAAAAAAATTGGCATTATAGTTCTATTTTACATAGGCCTGATATTCTGCGATCTTTTCAGTTTTCTTTTCATGCTTTTCAATCTTCTGCATTTTCAACTTGTCTTCTGGTTTTGTAAACACTTCATTGATATAAACATTTGAAAATTCTGTAGTACTTTTAAATTTCTTTAAAAAAGTCTGGACAACTTTCTCTCCTCTTGAACTGTATTCATCATCATCTCTATGTGGGCAGTATCTGCAGAGTCCAGTGCTGAGTACTACCAGCATTTCACGTCATGCTTCAGCCAACATGATGGCCCACAAACACATTTTACATCTTTTTGTTTTTTCAGAGAATTGATAAATTATATAAACTCATATAGTATGCCAAACATGCTCTAGATGGAATATTGAATAACTTAAGTACTGAATATTTGCAGTTTGGATTGAGTGTAATTTTGCGTATCAAAACTGTGTGTCATCTCTCTGAAGAAAAGTAAGAGGAAAGGCTTTGTGTTTAATACCTCATACTGATGAGCATAATTCTGATGCCATGACTTTGTGTTGTCTTGATCATTCTAATGGACAACTGTTTTGGGATAAAATTTTAAGACATGGAGTGTTATCCAGTCCCAGATGACTGGAGGCTTGCCAATGTGACTCCCATTTATAAGAAAGGTCGTAAGGAGGATCCGGGGAACTACAGGCCTGTTAGCCTGACCTCGGTGCCAGGGAAGGTTATGGAGCAGATCGTCTTGAGGGAGATCATGCGGCATGTGCAGGGTGACTGGGGGATCAGGCCTAGCCAGCATGGGTTCATGAAGGGCAGGTCCTGCTTGACCAACCTGATCTCCTTCTATGATCTAGTGACCCATCTGGTGGATGAGGGAAAGGCTGTTGATGTGGTCTACCTAGACTTCAGCAAAGCCTTTGACACTGTCTCCCACAGCATTCTCCTGCAGAAGCTGGCAGCCAGAGGCTTGGATGGATACACTCTTGGCTGGGTAAGGAGCTGGTTGGAGGGCCGGGCACAGAGAGTGGTGGTAAATGGAGTCAAATCCAGCTGGCGACCAGTTGTGAGTGGTGTTCCCCAGGGGTCGGTGCTGGGGCCTGTCCTCTTCAATATCTTTATTGATGACCTCGATGAGGGCATCGAGTGCACCCTCAGTAAGTTTGCAGATGACACCAAATTGGCTGGAAGTGTGGATCTGCCTGGGGGTAGCGAGGCCCTACAGAGGAACCTGGACAGGCTGGAGAGCTGGGCTGAAGCCAATGGGATGAGTTTCAACAAGGCCAAATGCCGGGTCCTGCACTTCGGCCACAACAACCCCAGGCAACGCTACAGGCTTGGGGCGGTGTGGCTGGAGGACTGCGTAGAGGAAATGGACCTGGGGGTATTGATTGATGCTCGGCTGAATATGAGCCGACAGTGTGCCCAGGTGGCCAAGAAGGCCAATGGCATCCTGGCTTGCATCAGAAACAGTGTTGCAAGCAGGAGCAGAGAGGTGATTGTTCCCTTGTATTCAGCACTGGTGAGGCTGCACCTCGAGTACTGTGTCCAGTTTTGGGCCCCTCACTGCAAGAAAGATATTGAGGCCCTGGAACGTGTTCAAAGGAGGGCAACAAAGCTGGTGAGGGGTCTGGAACACAGGCCATATGAGGAGAGGCTGAAGGAGCTGGGAATGTTCAGCCTGGAGAAGAGGAGGCTCAGGGGAGACCTCATTGCTCGCTATAACTTCCTGAAGGGAGGTTGTAGTGAGCTGGGGGTCAGCCTCTTCTCTCGTGTCATTAGTGATAGGACCAGGGGGAATGGCTTCAAGCTACGGCAGGGGAGATTCAGGCTGGACATGAGGAAGTATTACTTTTCAGAAAGGGTGGTCAGGCACTGGAATGGACTGCCCAGGGAGGTGGTGGAGTCACCGAGCCTGGGGGTGTTCAAGGAAAGGCTGGGTGTTGTGTTGAGGGACATGGTTTAGTGGGAGCTATTGGGAATAGGTGAACGGTTGGACTGGGTGATCTTTTAGGTCTTTTCCAACCTTGGTGATTCTATGATTCTATGATTATCTGCTTTGCTGATGGCTACTGCCTCTGTAGCATGTACAAAGAGACCATGTGAGACAGCAGCTTGCTCCGCTCTGCATGATTTCTGTCTCTGAGCTTAGTGTAACAGCCTAAACTGCTGAGGAAAAGGAGTTTACAGTGGGAGTTAAGTGGTTTACGAATGAGCAAGTATTCTATGACGGTAGCAGCAGAAGGAGGCAAAGCTGGTTGCCAAAACACTGTTTCAGACTCATGTACTTGGCTTCACCCATTGGTGCTGGGGAGTGTTTTGTATTGTTCTGTCTGGATTCTCAGTTTTTACAAAAATCAGTGAGCTAATAGTGACAGTTCTCATTGTGTGAAGTCAGTTAGCAGGCAGTGC